TTTCAGAAGGTTTAGTTTTATTGTAGAGGTGATACTTTCATGACTTTTTGTAACATTTTCCGATTAAATCAATAGCAGTAGTTTGTTTGTTTTTCTTTCTTTTTTTTTCTGTTGTTTTTTGTTAAGTTGGTTAATTTCACTGTTAGATTTCTAATTCGCAAATATTTTTCCCTCATAAAGAATATCGTCGTTCCTTTTAAATCTTACACTGTAATAAGAACTGTGAAATATAACGATTTTGAACTATTTTGTTTTATCTTATTCGTGAAATGAACCAAACGGGCGTTTTTTCAGGAACAAGCCTGTGTGCGATGTCAATGTCAATGTAGTCCTTGCCAAGGTCAACATTATATATTTATACAGTTTTGAGCGTCCTTTTTCAGTTGTTTGTTCCACTGATTCCATTACAATATTTTCTTTTCCCGAAAAACGCAGAATGTATCTTTGTTGATATTGTTCCAAATCGTTAAGGTGATCCGTTGATTGCGTTTTGTTATATAGACTTGTATAGTAAAATATTTTAAAGGACTTCCCCTGATATTCTACAATACCTTGATCTTAGTTTTTTAGTATGTAGAATTACCTTGTGGTCCTCAACATTCAAGTTATATTAATCATGCTCATTGGGTCAAAATTGGCCCAACCATGGACATAGACTTGTGTTGTAAACATGTCTTAAATATATTCTTCTGGGAAAGTTAAAGACCGACAACTTAGAAATTTGGCATGAAGAATCACTTTGTGGCCTTGTCATGGAGGTTACTTAATAAGTTTCTTTTATGAAACGACAATGCCAAGAGTTTTTAAATTTAATGCTATTTGTCATTGAGCATTTCAACAGGCATCTACAAGGAATTCAAAAATAATACAATTTTCATAAAAGATAAAAAAAACAACAAATGTGATCTTTTATAACATGGCAAAATAAAAAGTCTGACATTTTCTAGCGCTTAATCTCATATGAGTGACCAAGGCATTTATAGGTATTTAAGATTTCTGTCCTCAGCAGAGCCAATTGTGTTTAGGTCTCCAGTAATCGTTAATTATATTTTGCGTCATTGCATTAATTAAGAAATGTTTTGATATAGGTCTAATTAAAAATCCTACATAGTGAAAGTGTTAATTTCATTTACGTTTCAAAATAACATAAACAACTGCACTTTTAACATGGTATGTAAAGGCAAATGAACCGAATGAACTGTGTTGTTTTGGGTATTTTTTTAAGATGACTCCTGGCCAAGACTGTAAACTCATAATTCTATCATCTTTATGAAAACTGATAAAATATTTTATTTTTTGGTGCTATAATAATATTTTGTTGCATATATAGAAAATTATCTGACAATTCGTGTAGACAAGCTTGTTTTCTTCTCCATATTTTGTTGATTATATTATAAACAAAGTAGAATATTGACACCGAAATGTATGAAACTTTTGAACAGGAAGGTAAATATTCATATAATCAGTGTAAAACTGCATTTTTATTTGTGAATGAAAATAAAGCAAGCTTATTTGCAAAATTTAATGATTCTATAACATGTTACTTTTATGTGTATCAGATTCTAGACATGATTGCTAGGAAAAATGTCAAATACCCGCTTAATTAAAGCGTTGTTATCAGGCCGCCACGGAAATTCTGGAGGGACATTTTTGTTTGTTGTTATTTTGTAATTGTTATCATTTCTTGTGAGGGAATGCTCCTCCATTATTTATAACATCGTTCATTTCTGCTTGAATTTTTCAAATATGTCGTGTCGTTTATTTTATTGTTCTTAAAGTTGATATTATGTTTTCGTATGTTAAAAAGTGTTTTGTGTTTGGTGTTTTTATCGACATTTGGCACTGCTTTCAACAGTTATACCTTGATAGTCATAGGCAGATTGAGGAATACTAAGATAGTATTGTTTATTTATCTATTATTAATTTATTTTGATTTGCAATGTATTTATCTTTTTGTATATGTAATTGATTCCCATGTAGCTTACTCGATTAATACAAGTCTGTGCACGATGTACAATACACGAAGTGATATGTGTACAATACACGGAAGTGATATGAACTTAAGTGACGGATAAGTTGGTGAACAATACGGAGGGGGGAACGTATTAAAATTATGATTGATTTTTTTTAGAAATAAACCCCCCCCCCAAAGAAAAATAAAAAAGAATATTTATATACATAATAAAAGAAATGAAAAAGTAACGCAGAAAAAAAAAACCTTAACCAACTTGCAAGCGACTTCAAAATTCAGCAATTATTGTAAAGTTACTACATTTATGTTATTAATCACGTTCAGATTGATCTAAGATTCTGAAGAACAAAATATTGTACAAGAAACAGTAGTCTGGGTTACTGAAATCCTTGGTTTAAATATTTATCAAAGATTGCAATGAATTTTATATATTTTAATGTTACGAAATAACACATCTTACACTGGCACAGAAACATGGTGATGAACACTGAAAGCTAAATGTTCGATAGGGGATACACCATTTAAAAAAATAAAAGGGGTTCAGGAAAGTAGGATGTTCATAATACAGTTATAAGTGAATTTTAAGATTCGTATGATGAAGGCTATGCGAACCTACCGAGGCACAATCGCAGAACACAGGATTGTATTACGTACAAATTGCATGCTGATACACCAGAACCAGATATGTGTGAAGAATAGAATACAACGTACCATAACAATGTAAGGAACACTAGCTTAAGAACTTTAAAACCAATTGTAAGGAACATGGTGGGGCTATGAGTGAGGTTCGCTGCACCATTCATCGGTTTAACTCCCCAGCCGTGCTTATGCTGCTAACCGTTCCAAAGCGGCGCACCTCTGTGTTCCTCAGATGTATGTCGTGGTTGTTGTGACTTTTATGTGTCCCTTCTGGCTGTTTTCTATGGTAAGTATCTTCCCTTTGCCCTTTTAGGTTTTGTTTAATTTAAAGTTTTAACCAATTGTATATGGTCACTGTAAGCACATGTTTTGAAAGACTACAGAAATTTTGCTACCAGGGTATAGACTGGCTAACAACCTATCGTACATTTTGACAATATATTCGCAAAGCAAAGTTCATCGCTGATATGCCATTCCCTTCTACTAATTGAGTACGTGTGGCTTTTACCAACGCAACGTTTACAATCCCCCAGGCCAGGGAGCTATTTTAATATATACAGCTACGTGATTTTCAAGTCGTTCAAACTGCGGATATTAAACTTTTATTTGTGAAAGCACAAACCAACCTGAATCCAAACAATCACGATGTTGCGTAACAGTTCTTTAAGGTGCAAAATTATCATTTAATTTTCTTTTAAAGATATACTACGCTCAAATTTGATATTAGAAAATATCGGAAATTGCTTCACAGTCTCTTTGTAAACCTAGAATAAATATGTTCTGATTTCACACATAAAATTTATGTTATGTTAAAAATTCTACCCATCGTGGTGGTCGTAATATGAATTTATATATGTAGTTGAATTAAAAATGCTCAGTACTCAGTAAGAATATTAGATATTTCAATAAATTTCTGTCTTTTCACAAGAATGAGCATAATGGACCCAGAACGCAGTCCGGAAGCGTAACAGCATAATTATGTTGTTATTTTTTAATCTATGGAAACAAGAATGTTCAACCTTTAGATTTTACCTGTTCTTTTATTGTATTCCAAATCAATTTACAGAATTGGACATTAAAGCCATCTGTATCAGCACTTTTGCCATTTTCTTTTATATCTGCTATTGCATCTCGTTAATTGACCTTCATATAATTTATTATTCCTTCGCTTAATTTCAATATGTTTGAGTTTTCGCCAACTCTGTTCGAACTTTTATTATTTTCTTGAATAAAATTCTATAAAATACCTGTATGTAAATTGTTCATATTCTATTTTCGATTGTTCTGTTATTTTTTCCATTTATATACAACGATTTAATTATTTTCTTTCTGCTTTGTTTTGTTATAACGGTTTCAAGAGTTTAATATTTTTGTCCCCATTTTCAATATACTGGGATTAGGTTGTTAATTTTCAAAACATTTATTGATTGTATCACTTCTTCCTTGTAAGTATCATTCAATAAAATAATGATATCTATTTTAAAGAAACCTTTTCTTTTTTGTTCTCCCATTTCTAAAACATAAAATGCTGATTATGCAATGATTATATTTAAAACCCGTATTTGTATCCAACATTGAAATATTATTGGCAATATGGTTTGACCTAAAGAAATAATTAAGTCTACAAAATAAAAGGTTAAACATTTGAATGTCATGTGTAAACCTCAGTAGTGTGCATTGTCGTCTCTATGGTTTTCAGAGTCCAGACTTTAAAATGACAGATGACTACGAGGGTGAGAAAGCGGGATCGGCTTTCCCCGTATGCTTCGGATATGAAAACATGAATACAATAACGCAATTCGTCCGGGTTATGGAGTGCTCGTTCGCGAAAAAGTAACAACTTTGTCTATGCCTGATTTAGACGTGAATATGACTAATGTCGAATTCAATATATCACTGTTATTCCTTCTTATACTGTATAAACTGTATAAAAGAGAAACATACCTCAATCATATTTGCCACGTGGCATGTTATGGTAACCAGTGGAAGAAGTTGCAATATGTTATCTTATTATATATTAAGCCTAAAAGCCGAGATTAGATTATTTGAGCAAATCACCTGGAGATCAAGAAAATATAGTATCGTGACGTGATATTTCTGTTTTAGAACATAGCCTAAAGCTCATCTACATGGTAACTATCTCAGATTTAAGGACATGGGCTGGCACATACAATACTCTACTACTGCTGGGAGTGCAGAGTGAAGTGGCATGGTTATATCGACGGTTTTTGATTTTGGGCTTAAAACATACCGAATGTTTCGGATATTTCAAATAAAATCCCAGAAATAAAAAATAAAGAAATAAAAAAAAGTTTAAAAAAACAATTGACAATATCAAACCAATAATAAAAGTTCCTCATTACTCTCAAAAATGACAACAAGAAGTAAATTCATTGTTATTTGTGATTTTATTGTATAAATATCAAATTAAGACCATTCACAAATAACTAGTTTATTTGCCAGCAGCACAATGTCCGTGTTCATGTGAATTACCGTGTGGGTGATTATTTTGTGCCTCAATGCCCTCTAGCATCTGTACAATAAAAATGATTTCACTGTTTAAGAATTCTTTTAAATGTTTTATTGGTCTACATTAGACTGCATATTTGAGAACGTTGTATAAATCAGCATACACCTTGTAGCGTAGTGAAAGCCTACCAACTTTAATCCCTCTACCATAATTACTATTTCAACATGGTCACTTTAATTACTCAAATACCTTATTCTAAACTAAAATAGCCCTCATGAAATGTAACCTCAATCAATGTTTCGTTTACAAATTGCTGTCTTCGACAATATTAATGCCTATATCAAATATTAATTGCAATGCGGCCATATAGCAAGGAATTTCATACAGTATGTTAGATTTACAAAAGTTTACTCAAATGAAAATATCAAAGAGTGTTTATGATTCAAATCGTCACCCTGGCGAATGAACGGATTACCTTCTTATATACTCTAATAGGAGTTAACCCGTTACTGCATTCCGGTGACGAAATGAACTATTTTTTTAGGAATCTATGCATGTTAAATAGAAAAGAAATGTTCATCTTTATATTCACTTTTATGTTTGGTGAATTGCTTCGTTAAATGTTTCAAAGAAAAAATATTACATTACATACCTTTACCCAGTAGTTGACAAACTCTTCCTGTGTTACTACTCCATTACCATCACCTTAAACAAATTAATTGAAGTAGTAATTATGTCTCGTGAACTATTTTATAAAACATTGATAACAAAAATTAATTACAATTACCAAAAGAGAAGGCGTTGACATATGGATTAAGGGCATGTTAGATGTTGAACAGCTCAAGAAAGGAACGTTGAATATACAGAAATGTGCCGTAAAGATAACAAAGTAGTATTTTGACTTCAATACAAAATACTAAATCACTATTACTATATCCATTGCCAACAGTGCTAAAAGAGCAAAAGGCAGTTCATGTTTATGGCAAATTTGTATTATTTTGGAAACAAAAATAAAAAGTTTTTGAGAAATAAGAAATGATAGCATTTCTGAGGAATAATGGGCTTTTAACCTCAAGGTGGCCGTCCCGAATTTTCGAAACCATTAAATGCTGTTTATTTTAAGTCTCACTATCCGTTTCGTGCATCTTATCAATTAGATCATGCCAAATCAGGCAATAGATAAGCAAATTTCTGTATTATACGTACCAGAATCGTCGATCTTTTTATGCCAGCCTTCGTAGTCTGTCTGTTCCAGATGATGGTCATTGTTAACATCATAGTCATCATATAAGTAATGAGATATCTGGTAAAGGTCGGGGTCAGCAGAACATATCATCATTGTATATTCGTGACGGCTTTCTCTTCCATCACCTGAAAACAAAAACAAAAATGATATATTCAAAAGTGTGTACAAACGATACTTGTGTATATTTAGGTATATCTCAATCAAAAGCTCGTTAAATTCCGGCCTATTCCGTCACTTGCCGTCCTTCTGTTATATTCAGGTCTCCTTAAAAGAATATGTGACGAATTTCTGCGAAATTTATAGAAATTATCGGTGATATCGTTTGGTTACACACCTAATCTCTTTATGTTTATACTTCAATAGGCGTTTTGTTGCTTTTTGTTTATTTGTTTTGTTTTATGTTGTTATTGTTGTTTGTTATTGTTGTTGTTGTTTTTATTTTATTTTTTCATGTCCCTAAAAAGTAAAGTGCATAGAAACCATATGAAAATGAAAGGACCACGTAAAAATAATCTGCTGAAAAAGCAAAGAACACACGTGGCACTAAAACAAGCGATCAACATAAGGTACTGGAAATTATTAGAATTTGTATATCGTAGGAGAGACCGGTGCATATTGAAAAATCTTTTTTCGATTATTGATATCATTTTCAATATGACTGGCTCGATTTTGAATTATTTTTTCCCTTAAACATTTTTGTGTGTGCTCTTTAATTCCACTGGGACTTAATGTGTAAAACAATTAAAACTATTTGAGAAGTTTAACTTTGACATGGGTGCGGAGAAGAAAATTTATATAAATGTAGATCTTTATTATTACTCGTATACTAGAAAGGGGGGAACTATATAAAATATGATACTAAAAATGATAATGGTTCTGAAAAAGAATAGGAAAGTTATACATTGTACATTGTATATGTTTTACTGAAAAAAAGTAAGAATTTTATATATGGTATTTAAAAAGTGAAAACTTTATATATGGTACTGAAAGTAAGAATTTTACATATGGTACTGAAAAAGTAAGAATTTTATATCTGGCCAAACAAAGCAGTTAATATTTGGTACTGAAACCAGCTACAAATAAAACTAATTGTTCTCAAAGGAAAACCATTATGTCGTTACCATTTGTGTCATATTTATCAAAGACAGCGTCTATTTCGGCGACAGTCATCTGTCCATCCTGGTTGAGGTCTTCTTGAAGAAACATAATAGCTGCCGTCAGGTTATATGGTTGTAATTTTGTCATATCAAGCGCCGACACACTGTAAATACAAAAATTAGCCTCGTCACGACAAAACCAACATAGTGCGTTTGCCACCAGCATGGATCCAGACCAGCCTGCGCTGTTCGCTTACCAACTCTATTACAAGTAGAGAAACTAATAGCGAACTGTATGGATCCTGATCAGACTGCGCGGATGCGCAGGCTTGTCTGGATCCATGCTGGTCGCAAACCCATTACGTTGGTTTTGTCGTGACGTGGCTCAAATCATCATCGTCATTTCCGGTCTTGGCTTTCGGTTATTTCGTGTATTATAATTCGGTTGCAAGGTTTGCAGAAATTTATATTCAAGTTAATGTCAGAAAATACAATTTTGAAGAAATATGTTTCAACGCTCCACGATTTGTTTTATCTATACAGTTCTTTTCAAGATTTTAATCAAAAACACGCAAACAAAAGAATGGAAAAAAAGGAATGTTACCCTCCGCATATTATGCAGGCAACGAATACTAGTAACACTCCTGAAGATTCCATGGCTCTGAAGAAGAAAAAATATAAATAAAAAAACAAAATAGTCAGCAGAATATTACGACTAATTCTGTATTTTCTTAAAAAAATTCCCGCCACCCAAAAAAGTGCACATGATGACCGAGGAAAAGTACCAAAGTTACATGCTCACAAGCCTCATTTGAGCCGCGTCACGACAAAACCAACATAGTGCGTTTGCGATCCATGCTGGTCGCAAACCCATTAATATGTTGGTTTTGTCGTGACACGGCTCATTTATGCATTCATTTCTCCCTATTCATTTGACAATGAGAAATTTGTGAAAACGATATCTGTAAAAGTTAGTACGATAAGGTGAATGTATACTTAAACAATTGTCGATTTCAGAGAAAAACACCTAAAGATAATTAATTTTCTTTATCATGCTTGTTGAGTCCTGCATTTATTTCGAATGCCCCACTCAATTACAATCATGTATAGCCATGCAACGTTTATAATAAGTTACCGTGTAAATTCTTATAATAATATGCAAATTCTAAAAGTAATATTACAAATCATAATGTCACAGATAATCCAAAAACATGGACATATACCAAAAAGTATAAGCGTCCGAATTATATATTTTTACACTAAGTTAAAGATACAGTTATTTGTTAGCATTTGAAACTTTCTACCTTTGCACTCAGCAATACAATAACAGAATGACAAACTAGCGTTGACAAAATGAAAAGATAAGAGCAAAGTCAATGCCCTACTCTCTGTGACATTTTGAATGAGGTTCTCCATTGTTATTAAGTTGAATTATAAGACTTTACTTAAAAAAACTCGTAAAAAGGATCAGTTTTCTCTTTAAAAAGAAAGAAAAAAAGAAAGAAAGAAAGAAAGAAAGAAAGAAAAAAAGGAAGGAAGGAAGTCCAATTGTTTACATTTTGCTACTTTTATACTTTCTTCAGGTAAATAGTCATTAACATGTCCTTTAACCATTATTTCAGCGTTGTACAACTCATTGGTGCCTTTTCTAAAGAAGGGGAAAAGTATTCGTTCCTGAGAAATATATATGTCATTAAATAAAACATTTCTATTTACCCCTAGAATCACGACAAGTAACGGGGCTCAAACTGTTATGCGCATATCGACGTAGACTGTATGATGTTATGCGAAAAGTACAAACATTTGACTTACCCCTAAACTTGTTGATTTTTATGGACTTCTCCAGCTCTCTTTTATAACTGTGCATCATCAATTTTGGGGATATCGAGATGAATATTAAAAGTTTGTCAGCCAACAGTCTAGAACCTGGTCAAACTACACGGATGTTCAGGCTGGTCTGGGACTATACTGGTGGCAAAGTCTAGTAACTTTCGGTACCAGCTGCCAGGGTTACATATAGACGTATTACAGATCGAACCTGAAACTTATTCTATTCTCATGTTCCTATAATATGACAACAGACATATTTTAAGCAAAAATAAAAACTTCCTTTAGAGTGATTGTGTAAAATTTCAAGAATATGTAACAAATATTTGGTTTTATATAAAGGACCTGAAATAAAAAGGGTCAGATAACTCGAAAACAGGATTCTGTATTCTAATATCACGTTAAGTTAAAATGAATTATATATACATGTATTACGAATTTATGTACATGTAGTTATCAGCCTGCTATATGTCTATATGTATACATATCTATACTTGCTAAATAAGTAACCACCGTATTATGGATTCCCTAATAAAAGTATCATAAAAGTTTTGTAATTAACAATCATTTAATGTTTCAGCCATAATTAAGGGCCTCGGCAAGTCCTATTATAGAATGGTCCTCATTATCATAACAGTTTATGTTGGTTCTACACGATTATTCCTAATATTAGAATATGAAATCACGACTTTATCGTTGGAACAAGATAAGTATGCGAACTTATTTCATCATAAAACAAGACTGACATGTTTAAACTATATTATTGTCACAACAGTTTAACGTCACGTGGCGACTTTTAGCTTAAAGTGTTGGAAGACGAGGGCAGGCACATAAATAAAGAGGCAAAGTTTCAACAACTTATTAAAGAAATTCAGGCCCCAGCTAACTGATAATGAATCCGCACAAATCTTTACAAAATGACAGACAACAGATTCAAATTTATCAAAAACCTTAAATAATCCTTTTTGGAAGACCGATGGTCCTTGGCCGATCAACTAAATAAGAAAGTTAATTAGTCCGCATCTGCATGGTGTTTCTCAGCATTGTCCAACATAACAGAAGAAAAATTCGTTGCACGATAAAAATAAACCTTAATTTCTCAAACCGACTTGTAGTTTATAGTAATAAGCTTTAGATGTTTGGGAGATGTTGTTTAAAAGAATGTGGACGGCGAACTCAGGTGAGCACGTGCGACCATGTTTAACTTCGTCAATTAATAAATCGTGTTTGTTAATGAATAAAAGAAAAGTTTTAACATTGTTATATACCATTGAAAGTATTTAAGTAAATGCCTATTAATTAGCTATACAGGAATAACAAGAGCCCCTACGGGCAGGTCAACGCTCGACATTTTTACTTTCACTAAAATCAACAAATAAACGGTCAAAACAAATCCTTAAAAAGAAAATTAAAGTGAAAAGTATTTCCTTCTTTTTAACTCTTGTAGGTATGTCTTATCACATCTGTTGTTTTGCTCAATATGAACCATTTCCATAAACAAATTGAAAAGTTCAGAAAATTTAATCAAAATTAAATTTTTTGACGGTCAATGTCATTTAAATGTCAAGGTTACATCTAATTATCTTCCATATGTCTGTTTGGTCACAAGTGTTGTTTTGTTCATGTATAAATTAAATCCGTATATAAATAACAAAATTATGACAACTTTACCAAAATTTAATACTTTACCTTTGTTGGTCAAGGTCATTAAAGCTCAAGGTCAAGGTCAGTTCAACCTTTTATAAGGTCTTGTCCCCAAAAAGTTGTTTCGTCCGAGAATGAAAATAATCGATTGATTAATTACCAAGTTACGGCCAACTTTAGCGATAATCAGAGAAAATCAAATAATTTGACCTTCAAGGTCAATGTCACACATGAGTAAAGGTCAATTTGAGTTTGATATGCATGAAGGTCTTGACCTAACGGATATTGTATCTAAATATGAAATTAATCCATTTATAAATAACAAAGTTATAGCCAGTAACAGAGAAAAACACACATTTAAAGAACTTTGCTGGCAAATTTCGAGAAAATGCTTCCTTTAGAGTATAATTAACTCCAGATGACTAACATTTAAAGATTAGCTAGAAATCATCAAAACAAAGCTTCCTGACAAATTTCCGGGATATTTGAACCGAAACAGTAGACACTAGATTGTTAACAATGATGTTTTATTTTTTGTCTCGACATTTGATGCAAAACTGTGAACACAAGTGTTTACGAACTAAATTTGGACGGACGACGGACTTTCATCAATACTTAAAGCAAAGTTTGTAGCGCACAGCTGTGTTGTTACACCATTAATTTGCAGCCATTTTACGCTTTCGTAAAACCTCATTTTTATATTCTTAAATGATTCTTTTTTTAATTATTGTAAGAACAGGCCTTCAAGGGAGGAAATTAGTTATATTATTGGATTACTTCTCATTAGACCTGCTCCAACTTTTTCGATGCTGATGCTCCAATTTTATTTCCTATAAGCAGCTCACAAATAATCAAAACAACATTTCTTTTTTACATGAGCATTTATTTTGTATTAGGGGTGCAAACTGCAAGTAAAATTCGTGATCCGACATTTAAAAGATTTCAAACTAAGCAACAAGTGCATCCTTTCAAAAACGTTAAAACAGTCAGTTGGCGGGTGGATATTTTTCATTTTAACAATAATAAAGAACTAAAAAATATCAAAATTGTTAATTGCTTTTATAATGATCCGAACAAGTATATGAAATGAATTTTTATGAAGGTCTTTTTTAATTAAATGAATTGATGAATACACCTTTTTCCTTTATTTATAGGAAATTGATCTCTAAACAATCCAGATCACTAAACAATGTGAACGAATCAAAGATCACAACATGGTAAATAGCACACATTAACATCAATATATAAACTAGTACACTAACAATCATTATAACTAAACAAATAACATATATATAATATCAGAGAAGTTAAACGTTGTCCAAAAAATGACTTTAAGAGCTCAAATTCCAGTTGGTGAAATATCATAGTACTGCTTGCAATATATCAAACTTCACTCTCATTCTTTAATGTCTTAGGACACTTTAAGATCGTCATTTGATAATTTGGCTTGAAACTTTGTTTTAAACATTTAATGTAATAAAAATTTCATTAAAAAGTTCTGATGTACGTCGTCCGGATTTATTTCTAGCATTATCTAATCGAATTCAGGCTTTGAAATCCGGGGATATTTTGCGACTATGACACTACTGTGCACAATGTTCTTGCAAAAGCTAAAAAAACAAATTGAAACTTTCCGCCGTAAGATGCCGACATGCGTTTGTAACATAGAATATTGTAACATTGTGAACACATGTACCGTATAACGATGTTTACAATATTGCAAAAAAACTTGGAATTTAATTGGCTGAAACACTTTGTATACAATGCCTTTATATAACCCTGAAGAACCAAGCGCGCACATAAAAAACCTATTTTTACATCTAGACGGTTACCTATGATCGTGCATAGAATTTGTTATTATTTGTTAAATAATAATTTGGTTTTAATCTTGTACAGGTTTGTGAAGATCAGAAAGCTAGGAAAAATACCAGTAAACAGACAGAACAACTAAAGATGGTATTGGACGGCAGCCTATATAACTCTTTGACCAACCACCATGTTACAACATTAAAAATTTTAAACATTAAATTCAAAAAGAAAACAAGAGGGCCATGATGGCCCTGAAGTCGCTCACCTGTATATAGCCCCCCCCCCCCGGGCCAATTTTTACCCAAGGGCTTTTATTTGTTTATTTGAACAGACTTGGTAGACACCCATAAAAACATGCAAAACATCTAAGTTCTAGCTCATTGGGTTTTTTAAAAGAAGATTTTTTAAGTTTTTACTATATGCATATATGGAAAATCAATGACCCCCTGGGGCGGGGCCAATTTTGACCCCAGGGCTTTTATTTGAACAAACTTGGTAGACACTCACTAGAAGATGTTTCATGCCAAATATCTAAGCTCTAGCTCTTACGGTTCTTTAAAAGAAGATTTTTTAAGTTTTTACTATATGCATATAGGGAAAATCAATGACCCCCCTGGGGCGGGGCCAATTTTGACCCCTGGGCTTTTATTTGAACAAACTTGGCACACATTCACTAGAAGATGTTTCATGCCAAATATCTAAGCTCCAGCTCTTATAGTTCTTTAAAAGAAGATTTTTTAAGTTTTAACTTTATACATATAGGGAAAATCAATGACCCCCCGGGCGGGGCCAATTTTGACCCCAGGGCTTTTATTTGAACAAACTTGGTAGACTCTCACTAGAAGTTGTTTCATGCCAAATATCTTAGCTCTAGCTCTTACAGTTCTTTAAAAGAAGATTTTTTAAGTTTTTACTATATGCATATAGGGAAAATCAATGACCCCCCGGGGCGGGGCCAATTTTGACCCTAGGGCTTTTATTTGAACAAACTTGGTAGACACTCACTAGAAGATGTTTCATGCCAAATATCTTAGCTCTAGATCTTTGGGTTCTTTAAAAGAAGATTTTTTAATTTTTTTACTATATGCATATAGGGAAAATCAATGACCCCCT